ACAGTTGCAGAAACCCAATATTCTAAAGCAAATCAAGCGGAAGCAATCCATAGAGAAAGATATAACAATGTAGATACTGAAACTGCCACTGATCTGCAGGGAAGAGAGGAGAGAGTGCACATCATTTTGCAAGCAGGATGCTAGAATATACTCACTCACATAGTTCTAGTTCACAGAAGAGGAAAAGCGGGGGTGAACAGCAGAAGAGCTTAAGGGACGTTCTCCAAAAAGAGAAAAGAAGAGAAGAGGAGAGGAGAGGGGAGGAGAAGGCAAGAAATGAACAGCGCGCAGAGGCGTGTTGGGGATGGGGAGTTGTTGTTTACGTGTGTGTTGTTGTTGGCGGAGAGAAGAAGCAGAGAAGAAGTAGACAAGAAGTAGTTAGACGGTGTTGAGGTTGAAGTTGCCCGTTAACTACCTCCAGTCAGTGACCGTCGAATTAGTAAGTCTATTTATTAGTTAAGTTCAGTGTTAGTTAAGTTACCCGCGTGGAATCCCGAAGGCACGGGGCACGGTCGGGGCTCGGGGAAATGTGCTGCATTCGGTTTAGCCCCGGTTGGGCCTGGAACCTAGTTTTGCGATTGGATCACATTGGGCAAATGCTGCTTATATCAAAGTTAACTACTTATGTCTCTTCTATACTACTCTAACTTGGTCTTTGCTCGTTTTAACCTTGAGAAAAAGAGGGAGAAAAAACATAAAAAATAAATAGAGGCAGATCAGTGTTTGGCGAGTCATGTCAAATGCTGCACCTGGCCCAACCCTCGGTACCTCCTGCAGGAAAGCCGGTCGTTGGCGCCCAATGACCCAAACAAAGCCTTTCTCCCGCCAATTCACGGGTCGAGGCAGAAGCGGCTTGCTACTTGGGGACCTCCATGCCACTGACAAAACACCTCTGATCCCTGATCGTCCCATGCGTTGGAGGTGACGTACCACAGGATCCATGGTTATTTTGGGAGATTTCCCTTTGACGCGTTTTGATCGAAGGGTGTCCCGACATGTGCTGCCGCCTGTCGGATTCGCAGACGCCAACGGGTGTTTCCGTCGATCTCGGGGAAAATATGCAAGGAGAAGGTAATTGTTACGTAGCTTCGCTGTCGATAAGTTGCGCTGACGTGCTTTTTCTGCAAAGGTCATTTATCCCTACGACTTAAAATGGATGCCGTTTTTGCACCACACTTAACACCTGGCTTGTTAAATCAACATCAAAACCATCTCCGCCAAGCCATGAGCATTTGGGCCACTTATCAACCTCCCAGCAGAATGGGCTCAAATCGGAGATTCCCATCAAAACCGAGCAAACCCCGACAAACAATTTAAAAGGCCGAGCCCTGCAAGCTTTCCGAGTTCCCGGAAATCCCCTGTAAGGCTGTAACCAAACTTGGCTCTAGTTATCTGGTAACTAAGGCAGCATGAGAGGGAGGGCATTCGAGAAATTTACGGAAGGTAACTATTATCATTTCAGCTCAGGGCACGCTGTGGCCCTGTGGGGAAACGGCAAAGCGCAAATCGCTAGTCCGCTAGTTCGTATCCGTACTAGGCGTCGGCATGCAAGACATCCCATTCGCGCGCGAACCAGGTGTGAGATCTGTCATTTTTTTTTTGCTTTTTTGTTGATCCCAGCGCTTTGGACCTGTCAACTTTCCCTGAGCCAGCCATCTCTTGGCAGTCCTTGACCCAGGGAATGTCACGCGGCAGATTTCGTTGCCGAAAGGAAATTTTATATTGTTCATGAATCAGAAGAGCCGATTTGTGAATTCCAGGTGGGGATGGAAGAATACTGTACGACAAGCTGGGTTTGGATTTTAGCAAAAGACGCTCGATTACGAAAGGGGGTCTATGCGTCTGCCACTCCACCCTGCGAACTCCATGCGAAGAGCTGTTAAACGGTTGCAGATTACTGCTAAACTAGGCCGAAGATAGCTCTCAAAACCCTCTACAATGGGGTGTTCTCAAATGCCGATTATCTCAAAAATGAGAATGTCCCATAGCGCGCTGGTCAAAAAAGGGTTACCTAAAAATGGCGAAAGGGACCTGGCATTTGATAAGGCTGTCATTTACCGGAATAACTAATAGATGTCCCGGAAGGTTACTGCACAAAATTCCCCCACATATCCAACGTCTCAACCCTGCAAGGCGCTTTATCCGGCCCAACTCCCATCTATGGCTCCCCAGTTCTGTCACGCCTGCGGCTCTATTTTAGACATATCTGCCGAACCAAGCATTCCATGCGATGTGTGTGGAAAAACAAATCCGAGAGAGCATTCCTCGCACTGAAATGCGAGAGCCAGCAGCTAATAAGGACTGTCCAAAACCCAAGACAAGTTAATGGACCGCCCGATAATATCCACATCAAATAATTTTCCGTCAAAACTTCGTATCAAGCTGAGATCTCATACACGGGTGAATTGACGGTCAAAGACCGCGAATCGAACCGCCGAATTCAAGTGGATTGCCAGAAATGCGATTTAATGAAGGTTACTTGGAGTGAGATGCAGTTGCGAAGCGCGGATGAAGGAAGCACTATCTTCTATCGTTGCCCGAAATGTGGGAATAGGTACGCAGGATCCAATGAAGCAGAATCGACGCTCAAATCTACTTAGAATCCCACCGGTGCTCTCCATTTTCTAGCAGACATTCGACTATCATCTCTCGCATACATACACATACATTAAAACAGAATGACCTCTGCTCTCTTCCTTCAATCGAAAAAAGGATGACGCCAAGATTGCTTAAGACGAGATGCAGATCGATCCTAGGGCAGACAGTTAAGAGAGTTGTTTATGCGGTTGCAAGTGACACTGAGGCTGGAAAGGCAAAGGGCAGCCCGACAGTTCTGAAAGAGCGTTTGGTACCAGGGCCGAGAAGCGCTGGCCCCCCGGGAAAGGAATCCTGCAGAAAAGAACCATCGCATTCTATCTTGGTATTGAGGGGCTTACCATCATGGGCATTGTACCTAAGGCTGGGTCATACGCCTGGAGAGGGAAGTGCGCGAATCTGACATGCAACCATTGTATGCGATGTCATGGATTGTGCCGGGCGGAAGTGCTACCTGCGCATCTAGGCGTGCTTATTGACTGCGAGGCGCAACCGGTTGTCAGACGTGATCAATGACAAATCCTAACTTCGTACAAAGCGAAAGGCAATTCCAAGAAAGTCTTGTCCTATCAAAATTACAATCCTGTCGCTTCGCGTTTAATCGAAACGAATTCTATTCATACGCATGGGTAGGCTGCGCCGCAGGGCGTTGCTCTAGCTAGGAGATCAATTGCAACAACAATAGTTTCTTCTGCTCATCCTTCAATGGAAGGGGTGATCCCCGTGCATCCCAGATCTGCTTTTTGGCCCATACGAGTGAAGATATAAAAGCGCCCCCGTTTCCGTAGGTACTCCACAAGATCCTCAACATACATAGATGCTTTGGGCCTCTTTTCGACCTGATATTCCCAGAACTAGTTCCTTCCGCACGCCCTCTTGAGAAACAAGTTATAGTGTGTATACAATCTTCCGCTTCGATACTTTTGTCAACGAATCGTTCTATCCCACTCAAATCCCGGCTCTTCTCCACGAAGCCTATCGACCACCACGTTCACATTGAGCTTGCTCGAACCGAACCCCTGTTCAAAGTCACGAACAACTTTTGCTGCTGGCTGTGTTAATGGCACCTGAACTCGTCAATCTTGTTCTGGACTAATGCTTGTTTTGAATTCGCTCGCTCTAGTCCTCCAATATGTGTGTCGACCATATTATGGTGTGGTCCCGCGGCCTCGAGGCTGTGGTCAGGCTCGCCGAATGCAAGCGCGATGCGGAAACCTTTGGCAAAGTTACTGATTTACGTCACGGCAGCCCTTGCGACGAGTGTCAGGAGTAAGTTATTAAAGCTCGGCAGGCGGAGACTATGCGGGGGTGGGTACGGCGATTGGGACCAACTCTGGAAAGGGTAGACGGTGTTCCATGTACCAGGTCTATAGCCTGCTGATGAATAGCTAAGAATTTGAAGGTATGAATTGTGTGGCCTGATTAGGCAATAAGATCTTCGTGCTTCATTCAATCATATGGCATAGTCAGTCCAGTACAAAGTAAATAGAGAAGATTGATTTCGTGTTTAAGTTAGATTCTGGCTTACGAAATGGATGCACTAGTTAGTACGCTGTAGTCTTAGGCGAGCACGCCCAAGTTATACAAAGGTAATCATATAAATATTAGAACCCCTATTGTTGATCTGCCACTTTCCCCAGGATTGGACTTCCAAACTCTGCTGAACTCTAACAACTCTATGCAAGAGTCCTACATTGAATCAATACAAGCTTTCCCATCCCGCACCTCTATCTAACAACTTTTTGTTCAGCTTTTGGCTTGGCTTGGATTTTTCTCCATATCATTGGGGGATGGGAAAAAGGCTTTCTCAGCCTCCACCAGCGGAATCGGCTGGATGCGTCCATGTGCACCACAGCCATCTGCACGTCCAACTGCAGGATGTTCCTGCAATGGAACGCTTATTGTCGCCTTGTAAACACGTTAAAAAGGGTTTTATACCAACCATCATTCCTTATCCAACTCTCGTTTGGTATCGTTTTTGTACTGTATATCTCCAGAAAGTTTGTCGGGCACCGCGGAATTGAATTCGACGGTTGTACCCAGGCTGACGTGCTATATGAGTCTGGCCTGCCTGCAAAAGCTTGAAAGAGGGGCTGAGATCTTGTCACCAGTAGCTTGAAGCCACAGTTCGTGGTCATTGGGGAACGATTGCGCCCATGGGCTGTTGTATGTAGTAAAAATTCACTATTCATGGGCGAAGAGGTTGAAGTCCCCTTAATATTGAGACTATGCATACCATGCATCCAGTACTGCAAGAGCGGACTATCCTGGAATTTGGATGGAGGGATCTATTTTTATAAATAGTAGCATCGGAGATTGGATAGTAAGCCAAGTAACCCATGCAGATGAAAACCTTCCCCTCTGATATGGGCAAGCAAGAATTTGCGTAATTAAATATTTTTCTATTTTATCAAGCATTTACCCTCATCTCAATTCCACCTATTATGTTGGGCGCGGTCAAATGGATTGATTTACGCTTGAGTAACGGCGTTAGTCAGATTTAAATATCAATTTCTGACTAAACGGCATAGTGAAAAGATCATCATCCATCAGCGGGGAAATTTATGAATCCCACACAACGAACGATATATCGATCAGGAACAGCAACTTGCCTTGGATGGGAAATATTCGAAGCACTGACGCAAAAACTCCGCCGACAACATATTGAACATACATTTCTACGAGCTCCTGTGAGCTGCCCTGATAAAGGCTTAATTATTGCCGTGAAACAGCAGCAGTTGAAGAACCGGGCAACGAGATGGAGACATATGTTGGAGATGAAGAACGAGAAGGGTCTGTAGATGCAAATATGGAGAGCGAACCCTTTCTCACACCAACCCCCAGTAGTACACCCTGGGTTGCTCCCAAAGGTTTTGTATGGATCGAAGTTGGTACGAATCCCTCGATTCCACGCAAAACGATCACCATCGCTAACCCGCACATCAACAGCAATTTTTGCAAATGTATTCCTATCGGGCTTTGATGGGACCATTACAGCTTCAACCTATGCTGTAATCAGCTCAGAGTTCAACGCTGCTAACAATGCCTCCTGGCTGACGACCTCCTATCTGATCACAAGTACTGCGTTCCAGCCCCTCTACGGCCGCTTCTCTGACATTTTTGGTCGGAGATCTTGCTTCTTCACCTCTACCATTGCCTTTATGCTCGGTTGTTTGGGCTGTGCTCTAGCCCCAGACATCGTGTTTCTAAATCTGATGCGTGCGGTGACTGGACTGGGAGGAGGTGGGCTGATGACTATGGGTACGTAGAGCAAGCTAAAATTTCCGTTCACTTTACGCCCCTGTGTATTCATTCTTGCCTCACACATGGAACAAAATAATGCCTCTCTAGCGACGATAATAAACTCAGACATGATCCCATTCAAAGACCGAGGAATGTATCAAGCAGTCCAAAATGTCCTGCACGGGTTTGGATCAATCTGCGGTGCCTCGTTGGGCGGGTCGATTGCAGACACAATCGGATGGCGATGGTGTTTCCTACTCCAAGTGCCAGTGTCAATTCTTGCTCTCATAGTCGGTCATCTGGTAGTTAAAAACCAAACGCACTATGATAACTCGGATTATGAGACGTCGCCCAAAGCAACACTGTCCGCGATTTGGAACCGTGTCGATCTGTCAGGTGCCTTCTTGTTAATTATAGGATTGAGTATCCAACTTGTGGGACTCAACTTGGGCGGCAACGAGCTACCCTGGAGCAGTCCCTGGGTTATTTTATCCCTCGTTGCCAGTGTCCTTATCCTAGGACTCTTTTTATACGTTGAAGCAACCACATCGGCTATGCCGGTGATTCCACTACATATGCTACGAGGAAAGCTAGCGGTGTCGGCGCAAATTAGTAACATTTGCGTGGGATTGGCGGCCTATGCGGTATGTCAAGCTCCCATGTCCTCTCTATAGCCAACAAAAAAAGAATCAACTAGGCCTAACATTAAAAGCAGTTCCTTTTTATGTTACCACTGTTTTTCCAAGTCGTACTGAAGGATTCCGCCTCAACCGCCGGTGCACGACTGATAATACCCTCCCTCGCCGCCCCTGTGGGCGGTGTTATATCTGGTTTCGTCATGTCGCGCTGGGGTCAGCTAGCCAATCTTGTTCGCCTTGGTGCATTGCTCATGTTCATTGGCAACGCTCTCGTCATGCTACTTGGATTCGACTCTGCCAAATGGAAGTATATCACATATATAATTCCCGCCAGTCTTGGGCAAGGGATTGTATATCCGGCTATACTGTTCACCGTTCTCGCCGCTTTCGGCCATTCTGGTATGTCTACCAGAGAATATTTCATATTTGTTGTCCATATCGCTCTTTTTCTTAAGTTCTAATGCTGATGAAACCCATCACCAGACCACGCCGTCTCGGCTTCAACAGTCTACCTGATCCGTTCCCTAGGAACCGTTTGGGGCGTCGCAATCACGTCAGCAATAACACAGAACACACTAAAGAGAAGGCTCCCTGAAGCCCTGATCGGAATACCAAACAAATGGAAAGTAATACTCTTTTCTTTTAGTTCTTCTCTATTTCTCAAACCAACCACCCTACTCCTCTCCTCGTTCTCCCAACCCCACCCTCCGGTATCATCTTTCGTTCAGCAAACCTAGCTAGAAGCACCGCAGCTGACCAAACCATCCCCACTTCCCCCCCTCTTCCAAAAACCTTTATTCTAGATCATCGAAGAAATCAGACACTCCGTTCTGACAATTGGCAAACTACCCGCAGACGCCCAGATGGCCGCACGCCAGGTCTACCATGACGGCATAAACCTTTCGTTTGCAGTCTCCGCTGGCTTCGGTTTCATCGCGACGGTTTCCGCACTCTTTGCGAGCGGAAAGGGATTGTCGCGGGCGAGCAGCGGCGACACGAGGATGGCCGCGTCCGGTTCTTAGAGGGGCTGGGGTTCGAAAGGAATTGGGGGGGATTCAAGGAGGTTACCGCGGTTACCGCACTGAGAAATGAGTTCGTTGGCTATTTTCTCGCTCACTGCACCGTGGGTAGAATAAGGTAAGTGATATTTTTCTTCTTGGAAATGCGATGCGACTTTGCTAGAATTGGAGGTTGGAGGTGAAGAGAATGGAAGCTGGTTAAGGGCGTGCTACACAGGTGGATTTACTGATGGCAAGATTTCCTGGAATGAGATGCAAGGTCAAATGTGGGCCGTTAGCTGTTGTAAAAATAAAAAATGACGGCACCACTTCTCCATTCACCTGATAGTAAGAGAACAAAAGGTAGAAAAAAAATAAATAAATTGGAGCTGCAAAGAGAACACAAGGCTGTTTAAAGAAAGAGAGAAAGAAAACAAATCATCTACAAAGTACATTACATGGCCCTAGCTGTGAATGGAGACAAGCAGAGATATAAGAACTCTCAAGGAAATGTTTTTGTCATATTAGCAAGCCACTGAAAAATTACAAAATATTGAAAGGAGAGTGATACGATGAACAAAGTAACGTCGAGTTCTAGCAAGCAGAGTAAAACCAATAGTTTTGCTGAGAAGGCAGCATGGAAAGTCGGAAGAATACAGAAAATTAAGGTGAAGTGCAAAAAGAGCGTTTGTTGGGTTATATAGAAGCTGTATGTAGGTATTAGATAAGAAAAATACAGGTATTATGATATCATATGGCTGATTGATTTAAGATGGGGAAAATAGAAAAAAGTAAAACAAAATACATGGCGAACAAAAAAAGATACAAGGAAACGCAGAGCAAAGCATGAGTGGGAGAGGGACAGGGGAGAATTTAAAATTAAAATAAAAGAGGAACATAAATAACGCCCTAAATTGCAATGAATATCATGGCTCATGCAACGGCAAGAAAGGGGGAGGGTTGAATATGAAGGCAATGCTGTGGTGGAAGAAAATCGAAGACAAGACAAGAGACATGTTAGAATGTGTTTGACATGACCTCTCGGAATATTGAAGAGGCGGAAATCCACCGGGAATGAAATTAGTATATCTTTTCTATTCTAGTAGTCATAGGGTTCGTAGACGGATTGGTGCGGTGGATAACCAGATACATTGGTCTGCGATTGCGACCATGTGGCACCCATAAGTTTGAGACGGCGTTCTAAAGCAAGGAGGGTGGAATGTTAGTTCACCAGCTGCTCTCAGACACGAGTTCCATCTGTAAAAACAAAAGAAAAGCAAGAAGTAGGAAAATACATACCCCTCTCGAAATCACTCCATCGCTTCATTGTAATCTTACTACTGTCAAACTCTCCCTCGTACTCGATTCCAGCCTTCTTCGTCTTCTCCCCCGCTGTCTTACGAGTATCACCCCAGCTAAAGTCATCGAATTTCCAGTAGGAGTATGTAGGCAGGACAAAGTTCCATATGGGCAACGAGAGCAGGTAAATGAACATCCACACGACGTAGGAGAGACGGTGGGCGGTCACAACGATCAAGACAGCCGGCAGGCCTAGAATAAGTGCCAAGAGGATAAGAGGAATGATTTGGACAGGCTTCCTGATAATAGAAATGATAACGACGTAGAAAGTGAAAGCGATCGCGGCGGGCAGGACCAGTGTTCCCACTAGTTCCATGAATACCACGAACTGCATGCTGAAGCAGAAGGTACCACAGAGATCGCGTACAAGGATAAGTTCCATGAGGTTATGTACGGTACTGTTGATCCACCGGCGGCGCTGGGATAGAAGAACGCTGAATTTATCCGGAACCGTCGTTTTGCAGACTGCTTGAGGCACGAAAACTTGTTTTCGTTTGGGGAAAGTTTTCAACATAAGCGTCGACAGGTATCGGTCCTCACCAAGTAAGAGAAGATTCTTCTTATGGAGAGTGTCGACAACATTCTCCGAGTAATGCTCTACTACGTCAGGGTTTGCAAGAATGGGCACCCAGTAATTCTGCGCTCCCTTGGGAGCTTTGATTCGATACATGCAGAAGCAACCTGGCAAGCAAGTGACACCACCGAAGACAGACTCGAACGACTTGGAAAGGTGATGGGAAATGAAATACTCGAAGACTTGTATCATCGTAACCCAACTCTCCGTTTTATTGGCGATCTTTGTCTCACCACAAAGGCCCATGATTTCTGGGTCTTGGACCATGGCCGAGATCATGTGCGTCAAGCTGTCTGGGAATACTTTTGTGTCTGCATCAACCATGAGAACGACCTCGTAGAAATCCGGAGATATGCCCGTAATCTTCCATAATCCATTGAACATCTCAAACTCGAGCTCCGTCATTCGTTCATCGAACATGACCTTTTGGAGGAACGACATCAAAATAATTTGGCTGTCACGTTTGCCTCTGTTGCCCGGCTTGCTATTCTGGGCCTCGTCGGGTGTTCCGCACTTCACAACAACCATCATTGGCACCCGCTGCTGTTTGTCGCGAGGTACAACGGATTGTTCGCCGTAGTCATAAAATCCAGTATAAATCTTGGCCATATTGTGTCTCTTTGCTCCGCTGGCAACAGCAACATAAGAGAAAGCCTGGACATCCTCGGGAAACACAGTAAAATCTTTCATCATGCTAAGAGTGATGTCAGGGGTAGTGACAGTCTCGCCTGCTCCTTTAATCAAGCCGTCGCAAATGACAACAATCGTCTTGTGGCTGTTGGGGTAATCGGTCATGGCGATAGAATCTAGTGTCGTGCGTAGGCCCTCCGCGCCTTCAGAGTAGGCTGTCACTAAACAAATTGCGTGGGCCAGAGGATACCCGAAGGGCTGCCATTCCGGTGGAGGTTGGGGAACAACCGATTCGTGAATAAACCCTGTCAGACCTGGTGGATCAGCCTCGCTAACTGCTATAGAGTATCGTCGATCTTGTGCACCAAGCATTAGACTGGTGCGACTACCAACGATACTCTGGCTGTACGGGTCGGCGCTTAGAGTTCCCCGGCTGGTGTTTTGACCCGTCTTGTACATTGGGCTCGCAAGCCCCGCATTCTGGCTAACCATGGTAGTGGGTGCAGCGCGCTGTTTTGACGCTCCGCGATCCATTGCATAAGGGCTAGTGAACCTAGACGTTGTCGGGAAAATGGCACTGCTGAGTCTGCTTCCACGTCTGCTGCCGCGATCAGGCCAAGAAGGTTCTGTTAAACGCGGGCCAGGCTGATAAATGTCGTCGGACCAATCTTCGATTTGCTTCTTCCGCATTGTCGAACTAGGGTTTACAGAGGTCTTCGCAGCGAAACGGCTGGCCAAGAACCACTGGAATGCCAAAGCAAGGACAAATTTCGCCCCAACGACAGCTAGAATAAACGCCAACGAGATATACAGAACTACCTTGGAAGCGATGCAGCCAACGGAATCCGTGTCGATGGACCCAACCTTGATGATTTCGGTCAAACATTTAGCTAGTCGTTTGTCAGGGGCAGATTGGAACATATGCGTCACGTCAACTCCTCTAACCGCCAGATTTGTCTTGAGCTCGTCGAATTGTCGGGGAACGGAAACTTGGCTTCTATCAAACCAATCCAGTAGATTCAAATCAAGAACACTTCCGGAATATACCATCAGGTTTCGAGATTGGTTCTTCAACTCCTCCCACGTGAAATATACATCTGCCGGAGCCGTTAAGCCGTGGTAGAAGGTATTTCTCGCACGGCCAGAAGTATGGCATGCGTAACCAAGGTACGGTGGTTCGGTAAAATTGGGCCGGGAGGAGCCATCCTGTTTAAAAGGAACACATGGAAAGTACCAGGCCAGTTCCCCTTCGCTGTTCGTGGGCACATTTGAGTTCGGTGTCGCGGTAATAAGGCCTTTGCATGCGCCATTTACGTTTTGGAACAAAAAGCTGGCATCCAAACCACCATATGAAACAGGTGGATAAGCGACGTTCGTTCTATGGGGGATACCAAGAGCTTCCGGATGCTTGGTGTCCAGCATACTATATGCTTTTCCGTGGAAGATGATATTTCCGATATCGACCTCGTTTATTTTAAGCCGCACGGGCGGACTGCCGCAAACGACCTGAGTGAAACCGAAGGTGAGAAATCCAACGAAGGTACAAATAAGCAGGATGATACTGATAAGACCCATTTTCTCTCGCCAAGCTCGTCGTTGGGCCTTCGCGGGCATCCCAAAACATTTGAGGACGAAATCAGGACACCAAAAAGTCACCATGCCGCAATATACATTCCACAAACTTGGAGGTTTTATTGTATCTAGCTCTTCCTGGCGCCTCTTTTCTGCCTCCTTGGCAGCTTTGGATTCCTTTCGCGATAGTTTTCTATGCGTATGTTTCCCTATATCCCGTTGTGATGGATGGCGTCCTCGTAATTTCGCCGAACGCTCTCCATTATCAGGATAGTCGGCGCCCGAATTATTCCGGTCTCCCCTAGTTAGGCTCTTTATATCTGTGCTTCCTGAGCTCATTGTGTCTGCCTCTCCATTATCATGAACTGGCTCGTTGCCAGTTGTGGAAGGAAATGTAGCCATATTTTGCGCATGTTGGCGGTAGTGATAGTTCGGGTGGTGACGATCCATGCGGGTCCGTTCCGGTCGAATCAAACTCCTTTTCCGATTCAAATTCTTTGAATTCCCTGTGCCAGGTTCATCATTTCCTGAGTTTACCCGAGGAGACGCATGAGGGTTAGCATAGTAGCCGTTATTGCTCTGTGAATTAGGCGGGGGTGTCAGGGGGCTATCTGCATATGCACCGGATTCGAGGTCAGGACGACGCCGTTGTTGGGATGAGTCTCGAAATCCAGGTGGCTGGACATCTCGTCTTGAAGATGAATCGTTTGGTCGCTGAGGTCGCTGAGGAAGCGACATGTTGGCGTGTGAAAGATTCTGTAGGGGATAAGAGAACAAAGCTATCGATTAGCTGCGATTTCCGGATCGATAGGTTTATAGATTTCAACAATCTCCGTCATTGTAAAGATATAACTAGCCAATTTCCACATACCAGTGAGCAATACCAAGGGCGTTACTCCTGATTTAAAAGGACCGAACTCGTTATACCACCGCTCCAACACCTATGCTACCCACCACGGACGCACGCAGACAAAAGTTTGACAAGATCAGTCGATAGCGAAGGTGTTGTCCAACCAGCCCTCGAACGGAGATTTCTAAGAATCGCAGAGGCGTTTAGCCAACCGATATTAACTTGGACTGGCAGAGATACTCGGTTTAGCTCGGGGCGAAAACGGGAGGGGTTTACGAGGCAATGGCCCCTGCTAGGACGTTTGTTTCTAATGGCCTGCGGCTGAAAAACGGACAGGAGCAGTGAGGAAGGGGCTTTGCGTGGAGGAGAAAAGGAATAAAAAACAACAGCAGGCGTGTATGGATATTATTATTATGGGAACGAATGGACAACACAGAGTGAGGGAGAGAGAGATGGGAGACAAAACATATATCTAAAAAAGGGAATAAAAAAGGGTCTTGAAATAATTGATTTCAGGGTATCGCACCCAGTGGGAATATATTCGACGCACAAAACGAGTGGAATCGCCCCAGCATCGAACGTCGCAGAAGATGAGGTTTTCGATGCTGACAAGGCTTCAGGAACAGAACAGCGACTGGCGGCCAGGGACAGGCGACGTTGGGATGGGATGGGAAAAGCGAGCGTTGGCTGAGCTGGAGGAGGTTTGAGGCTTTGTCCGCATTGGGCAAGGTTTTGAGGAAAGGCTATGTATGGAAACAGCGTATTGCTGTGACCAGCTGTGACAGATTGTGACAACCATGACAGGGTATGACATCGGGGGGACATCTAGCGACAGGAGCAATGTCTCAGTCGTGACCTGTATTGTACATGTACATATATGTACAGTACACGTAACGGTTTGTTCGAGCAATACGGTACGTCTATTTTTAGCGTCCCATCCCATACGACAAATGACCGGAGGCAAGTTTAAAGCCGAGCGGAGAATTTTAGCACATAGCTGAGTACCCTTTTTAGAGGCGATATTTTACTGTGCATAGTCTATACGTGCATTTCCATCTTTGAATATATATAATTATTGCTACTACTAAATCCAAGTTGCTTTCAGCCTCCAAGTTTGTCAAAGGTTGGTTGTAAGGGTACATATACGACGACATGACGACTGTAGTTTTCAAGGTTCGACTGCGCACAAACAACCCGTAACAATACAATACTAAGCAATGTTTTCTTCGTGTTTTCAATACCGAGGTACGTAGGTACGCACTTTCAAAAAAAAAATAAAAAATACCGACGGGTGTATCCTCAATACCAACCTCCTGATAAAATACGACCTACAGGGCCTAGATCCTGCCTACTGCACTGCACTAGCTTTATTATTATTTACACGCCTGAACGAGCAAGTATTGTTTACCACGGTATAAATTTGGACGCCGCCACCGCCGCGACGAGCCATCCCACGGCAACTAGGACCGCTCGCTCGCTGTCCATACTGGAACCTGGTATTTTAGATTCCTCTCCAATTTCCATATCCTAATCCTCAGGAGTTGTCGGCGTCTATCTGTGATCATTATTTGCTGCCAGCCGCTGACTCCCTGCATAGGTTTACCTGCCTTTCCGATAAAACAAGCTCACCTTACCCAAAGTCTGGAGATACTGTAACCTCAGGACCAAAGAGCACACACCATGGCGATGGGATGTGTGGCTGCGGCTTGGCGGGCAGGTTTGCAGCTTACCCAGATTACATTTCAAGATCTCTCTTCTTCCGGCGGGGTGTGTTCCAACAATAAACAAGAACAAAAACTTATTATGATTGAGTCTCCCGCCATTCTTCTGGAACGCGACACCTTGAAATAATAATAAGGAATGTCCGTAATGATAAATCAAGAGCCAGCGCCCCGCTCACAGTACATGCATTTTACCTGCAACATAATCAGGGTCATATAAGCCATCCAATTACTTTTCAGGAAGTGTGCAATCTGTAGAGATTGACATGCTAAGTGCTGCAGGCTCTACATATACGTGTTCCTACATCCAACATTGTCCGTTTATTTGAGAATTCACTGCTGTTTTGTTTTTTTTTGTCCTTTTTTTTTTCCATGGTTCTAAACCCAAATTAAGAAACACAGTTGCCGCCCGTTGCTAGATAATAATTGTGGTAAGTCAATTCCCCTGAGCTAAAGTCTTTGTTCTCTCCATTTGCCCTTTCGCTTCACTCACCAATATATGGTTGAAACACCCTCTCTCTCAACAGTCTGAGTGAGCTTAGAAGAAAGAGAGAGAGATCTATAGAATGAATGCAGAAAACTAAACTAAGCTTTTGTAATAGCTTTCTCAAGAATATACATGTGATGCTTAGGTATTGTTGACATGCGAATCGGCCACTTTTAACTACCAGTACTGAGTATAGGCTGGGCTGGCAATTGAGCTCTTTTGCCTAGTATTCTCCAGGTTATGTTATCTCACCATGAATGCTTCATTAATACCCTCAGTACTCTCAAGAGATTTCTTGAATATGATGCTAGACTTTCATATTTTGTTTTCATCTGGTCTAACTCTCTTCTTCCTTCATACACTCTCTCTTTAAGTGCTCTCTATAAGAATAGAGACTGATAGCTTGTGGAAAGTTGGTTAACTATTTATAGTATTTTTAATTAAATTGTCAACATCGCTGTGCCAACTTAGTAGTAATTCAACTCTGTAGAGATTTGGCAGCTGGAAATTAACAGGCACTTACTCTGTACTTATGAGAGAGAATGATCCTTTCTTCCCTGCAATCTTCAGTGGAGGCGGGGTGAGTGGCTCGTTCAAAAAAGAATTCCTAGTCTGTGGCGGGTTCTAGGGAGTACAAGACACCACAGAACGTAACCCAAGCCCCTCTAAATTTTGCTAAACTGATTGGCGTCTTTTTTTATTTTTATTTTTATAGTTATGTTATCCTCTTATCCGTGCTCGGCTCGAGTTTTCACCTCTAAAAATATACTCAACGACGCTACTCACGCATCACTGGCCCTTTCTATTATTATTATTACATCTTCACCATTTCCAGGGCAGGCTTAGGAGCGGGTTATGAATCCGGGACTATGGGGTTGATTCGGGATAAGGGGCCCTGGTGAAGAAGAGGCTTTGGAGAAATGTGTTTCACGCATGACATATGGTAGTGGAGCGTGAACCACTCGCAGGGTGAGACCACACTTATTAAAAAGAAATAATGTCATGATTCGACTTCCACGCCGAAAGGATTTTTCTCTGCAAAATCGTGGCCGACAAGAATTGATTTTGCCCGACCCACCATCCAGTCGTCATATGGAGTCTTTGGAGTCTCTACAGTCTACCAGGCTGTTCTCCGGACAGTTTAACGTGGTTCTTCCGATTATCCGGGAAAAACTCTGGGCTGCCTCAAGCGCGAGGAACTTCACACCAAGGCTTCATTCACTATATCCGATCGAGGTTTGAGTGGTGCAGATGTATTCGTAATATAATTATGTGACCAGGATGCAATGCAAGGCAGGTCATCGTCCAAAATCCCTTAGTAAAAATCAGGCCCATAAAAAAGGGGACTTTTGAACCAGGATTCAAGTCTTTTTTTTGTTTTGGATCATCCATGGTTCACGATACATCATATCGAGGGACGTTGCTTTGGTTTTCCTGTTTTGCCTTCGAAACCAAAGTAATCAATAATAAATTAATAATCAGCGCTTTCGGGTTCTCACGAGGGTTACAAGGGAGACTGTTCGGGCGCGTTGTATTTGAACCCCTCCTCAGCCATTCCTCAGCCACAGGAGAAAAAAAGAAAATACTTCCAAGAAATTCTTATTTTAGCGCCTGGGCAGGATTTGGGTCTGCTTTTGAGCGTGAGGCTGGGTTGGGTGGATGTCCCGTTTAGCGAGGGCAAGAGGAAGCAAGCTGGGTCCCCCGAAAGCCGCCACAGACGCCGCCACGATGAGGACAGGAAAAATTCTGACCGGAATTAAAGGAGTTAGTTAGTTGGCCAATTAAGTGCAGCGGCGATGAGCTTTTTCGTGTCGCGCATAGGTGTGCATTAAGTACTCAGTAGATGACTGAGAAAAAAAGAATCCGACACAGAGATAGACATTCATATGTCAAACCACAACCTCACAACAACTGACGTTATTACACTTGTCTCTGGGCTGGGATCTGAGATATCCGGATAATAAGAACAGTAGAAACGTGTTCTGTGTAGAGTTCAAAGTTCAAACCTGGTAAAATAATCCTGTTTTGTTATCACCAAAACTGAACCGCTGGCGGCCTGCCTGCGGAGTAAGGTACGTACCAAGCTACCCGTCATATCGCTCTGTACCCGGGGGAATGGCAGGTTTGGCTGGTTGAAATTCGCGGGGCAGGTCGCTGCGGTTAAGCTTAGAACTTAGGGGGGGGGTTTTAATCCATGCCCGTGAGCGCTGCAGGCGGTCGTATCACGAATGCACGATGCGCGCCATATAATTGGAGCAAACGTGTTCAAACAACGAGACCAAAGGGAACGATTGAAAGCCTTGACCTCAATTGAACCCACCCAGGAACCTCAGCTCGGATCACGGAGGCATTATTTTTATTCTTGCATACAAGAAAGGAGCGAAAATAGTATCATCATAATGATGGAAGCTGGCGCTGGATCTTGACATCTTGAAAGAGCCGCATCGGCCAAAGCGAACCGAAGCCCGGCCGCCATCAGTCATCTTGAACCTTCACCGTCAGCTTCATCCAATCTCGAACCCACCTCTTCAGCTCATCGTTATTACAGACTATCCCTATTGTTATCAATTTCTTTCTTGTTCTCGCCTCTCCAGAGTCTCCACTGCTGCTTTCCATTGTTCGTTCCATTGGCTTTGTTTCCCCATACCTCTCACTCTTTTGTCATTGTTGTTTCATTGTCGGGCCCGCACTTCTCCAGGCTATCCCTAGTGGAGTGGATGGGATAATAACCCCCGAGATCGCAGCACAACCTCACCGACGCCGCGCTGTTCCGGACCCCCAGTGGCCAGTTGTATCGCTGTTTGCCCCCAACCTCTCGCTAGTCAACTCAATCGTCACTCGCTTCTCCACTCCCCAAATCTTGCGACTACTTCTGCACGCTCCAGGCGACTTGTTTCCTGCTTGTTGATTGCTTCTATTAGTATATTGAGAGGATTCAAGATTTATCCCTCTGTTATCCCGTATTCAGCACTGTCGAGAGTCTCGATCGTGTTGTGATTACACACCTGGGGGTCCTCAAGAGCGAAGCTTTGACGATCATCGGGTCTCCGTTGATATCATCTCTTGTACGTGCAACTGGCTGAATAAAACTGGGCCTGCGCTGTTGATCTGCTGCTCCATTGAATGTGGAATTCATCTCCTGCCACAACAAAAACTTCCAAAGAGAATAACTGCGAATATCAGGAGGACTTGGATTCCTACAGCCTGACTGCGAAGCCCCTCTGGCTCATTCTGGATCGTGAATGCTTCCGAATCCTGGCATGACCATTTGACGAGAATATCCATTCAGAGTGTAAATTTTCTCCACCTCTTGAGAGCGCTGGCTGCAGCTTTTTAACTTTTTTTCCTAACTATCTAGTTTACAGAGCTGAACGACAGGGCTGTGATAACAGATACTCCTGCCTTCCCCTCGCTTAAGCGCCTCCCTTGCGTACAAATTCCCCGACTTTGCGAACCGCCTCATTGTGGCCCAGATTCATTCCGCAAGTTGCACGCAATATCCAGTTATCCCACACACATTTCCTCTTACAGCCGCGCTCCTTTTGGAAATACTTCTTTCTGCTTGGATAACAAGAGGTCAATTGTCCAGGAGATACCTTAAGATATCATTCACAATACTGCAGGAGGAGAGCGAACGACGCCGCCAAACATGGCAACCGTAGTCGCCCCGGAACAGTCACAGCACACCCTACCTCCTCTCCTTCCAGCTCCATCAAACAGATCGCCCCCCCCTCCAGACTTCAAGCAACAAAATCTTCCTCAGCTTCCGCGCCACCCTCCACCTCCTCCACCTAATCATGATCTGAGTCAGATCCTTAATTCTGCTCCCAAGAGAAAACCTCTGAAGCCCCCCCCGCTCGAGGTTCTCGATAATGCTATTGTCCACAATTCTCCTGTCTCTCCTGTAGTCATTGATCCTCCGTCAACCCTGCCCCAAGCTTCCAGTGTCCAAATAGAAGATGATGTGAGAACCTTCCCTTCTAACTCCTGGCGACCGGACGAGTTGATGCTGGATAGTCCTGGCACAACACAGCTCCCACCACGCCAGAGCTCACTTTCACCTACGACCAACTCCACCCTCTCTTATCAAACTCTCCCGTATCGCCACAAACTTTCGGATAGCGTACCGGAATCTTTACAAAGCATCCCAGAGCGCAAGGATTCGCTACATCCTGACCAATCTCAGCAAATGACATATAAAATCAATCATAGCGGAAGCCGTGGTGGCTCATCTCGAGGTAGCCTTGAAAGCATACCCCAAGAGAATGAGTTATATCAACCATTACAGTATCACCATATGGCTTTCGAAGAGAATGTATATGATAGAAGTGTTAACCGTGGGTCAAAGAGCTCCATAAAGTCTGCCTCTGGCTCTTCCTTGGGAGGTGAGCCAGGACCAGGGGTATATTCGCAAAACTATTTGGCGCCAGCACGAGGCTCAACGCATGGACTTACAATTCCACGACCCATTTCAGCATACTCGTCTTCGTCGGATCTTGCAGCGCGAGGCCGATCTCCACAGCTCTCCCCTAATATTCATGCCCGTGGTGTCTCTGCACATTCCGCCGCGTCACCAGATACCCGACCTCTCTCTTTCGTAGACCTCCTTAACGTACCATACCCTCAGCCTGAGCCAGGCGCGGGAACCTTGGAACATGCCCATCTACGCCCGTTGGTTGGAAACAACGCATCCCTCCTTAGCCACAAGCAAACTTTTGACATGTATTTGGCCAATGTTAAGAAGACAAATGATCCTGCCGCTCAGTACGAATTTGCTGTGTTCATGATCAATTCCAGCCAAGCAACCGAGGACAGCCAAGCGCCTACTGACTCAACACAGCCGGAGAAATCCAAAGATATAACTAAGGCTAGCCTATTACGAGAAGCTAAATCAATCCTCCAACGCCTTGCTGACCGTAGTTATCCCTATGCCCAGTACTACCTGGCAGATGGCATTGCGTCCGGTCTTCTTAACAAGGGTAAACCCGACTATGATAAAGCGTTTCCGTATTTTGTTGCTGCGAGTAAGCATGGCCACGCAGAGGCTGGCTACCGTGCTGCCCTATGTTTTGAATTTGGCTGGGGAACCCGAAAAGATGCAGCCAAAGCTGTCCAATTCTATCGCCAGGCAGCATCAAAAAATCATCCGGGAGCGATGTCAAGACTCGCCCGTGCATGTTTAGATGGTGAAATGGGCCTCGTTAAACGGTACCGGGAAGGTATTACTTGGATGAAACGGGCAGCAGAATCTGCAGATCACCAATACAACTCTGCGCCCTATGAACTTGGCCTGCTCCATGAAACCGGATACGGGGATGACGTTTTCCAAGACGAAACGTACGCCGCGCAACTATTTACGAAGTCTGCGGAGCTAGACCACCCCGACGCCGCTTATCGCCTAGGAGACGCTTATGAACACGGCAAGCTTAACTGTCCTGTCGATCCAGCGCTCAGTGTGCATTTCTACACATGCGCTGCGCAATTGGGACACCCCATGGCGATGATGGCATTGTGTGCGTGGTACATGGTTGGCGCTGAGCCTTTGCTTTCAAAGGATGAAAATGAAGCATATGAATGGGCTAAGAGTGCGGCTGAACTAGGTGAGCACTCGGAAGTCCTTATTTACACCTCACTGCCCAAATCAAACTTAAACTAATTTTAATCCCCGTTGAACGCAGGTCTCCCCAAAGCACAGTATGCTGTTGGCTACTTCACTGAAATGGGCATCGGATGCCGCCGCGACCCCCTCGAAGCCAATGTTTGGTACGTCAAAGCAGCTGACAAGGGTGACGAGCGAGCGAAGCACCGCATGGCAGCAATCCGGGCAGCAGCATCTGGTGCAGATCCCAAGTCCGCGGCGTCCAAACGACGAAATAAAGGAGATCACCGAGCTGCCTCTCCAGGTGAGGGAGCATTTCTTTTCCCCCTATCTTTGACAATTAGTATACTTGAAATTCCATGAACTTTTTACTAATTTGCGAAATTTTTTCGGTATATACGCAGATGACAAAGGCAAAAACAAAAGATTCATGATCTTTTGATTTATTTTGAATTTGAATTTTGAAAAGTTCGTTTCTTCTTGAAATCTAGTTTTCACGCCTCGCATATACGATTTCTCAGATTCATCCACGGTGCCTTTCTTGCCTCTTGAAAAATCAATCAGGTCTGACGTTGGATACCGCCGCATATATTTGATGTCGTAATATTTTGATATCTGCCCGCTCATACATATACTTTTACACTAATATCTCTCGTCAATTTATCTTCCTGGCTGTGTCCCACTATCTTGTTTTTATCATTCACTACGATACCATACTTTATTTTACTGATCATATACTAATTGAAAGCTAACTTCCCATTTTCCCGCTGGTTGTTTTTTTCTTCGTTGAGAAAAACGCCTTTCCTATGCCTCTTTCCCCTCAGGTCTATGCTCTCCTAGAACTGTATTGTGCGAATTTTCGTTCACGCATGATGCAAGATATGGCTCTATACCTCTCCGTTTATTTATCCTGCTCTGCTAGTTTCCTACTTAAACCCTTTCTTCCCCCGCCATCTCGTCATTTTCCTTAGAAAATGGCCACACCTGTCGACATAGCGTTCAGGTAATGAAGAGGCTCTCAGATGTTTGATACAGCGCAGAAAAAAATAAAAAATAAAAATCGAATCCGGGGTCCATATATAAAGGGGTCAACTAATCATCTCTCTTAAAAATGCTTACTTGTTATTTGAATTCTTTCGGTTTCGGTTTCCTTGCCCTCTTGGAGCTAATTGTTAATGCATTGATCTGATGACTCTTGGTTCCTTCTTTTGTTATTTCTCTTTCTGTTCCGGCATGGCTCTTGACTTATCTTTTATTTCTGTTGTTGCTCTTACATCCTCTTTTTCTTTTCTTTTCTTTTTTTAACTTTTACTCTGGATCGTTCATGTCTTGTTTCTTCGCTATGATTGGTTTTATTAGGTCACATACACATACCCATACACATACACTTAAACAAGACAATTTAATCCTGGTTTTTAACCATATCAACACAAACCCTCCCTTAAGTCGGTTGTTCTCTAAATCGCAGACAACTTTGCAAGAGAGCCAAAGTAGACAACACCCAATATTTTCATCATGAAATCTACACTTCTGACCCGTGGCCCCTTTTGAATTACTCATCATGTGTGGCTTATACCCTTCGGCATATAGAAGCAAAACGCTGTTCCCTTCCATCTTGTGTTCGGGATTACGTATCCCTCAGGTTCGGTTTGGATGGTAAGATACACGGATGGATATCAATAGCCTTGAATGGGAGGTACACGTGGCTGGTGAGTTTGCTCAATGGTCTTCTAACATTTAATAGCTAATCACTTTTTATCTTGTAATGCACATGTACATACATAATCTATTTTCTCTTCTTAGTTGTTTTTCTCAGGTGTGTTGCTCGTTCGTTGATGGAATAAATAGTAGGCGGCTAACCAGCGCAGGATTTCCTTTCTCGGCATCCTGCCAACGCTCACGCACTACGCTACGTCAAGAAAGCTGAGGAGGTGATTTAGATTTAGAGGTATCGTTCCCGTGCAGCAAGATCTGATCTGTTGGTTGTTGATTTTGGGAAGACCTTACCTATGTTTGAGAGTGGTCCAGTACTCGCTACAGCAGGCTCAAGCTAGATTACACGCTCGCAAGAATGTTCTTGGCTCCAGGGTCACAACATACATCTATCCGCTTAATCGACTACTAGGCCGCCTGGTTAGAAAGGAAAATCCAACATTCCGATAACCCTTGGGGCTATTGCAATAAGTACGAGATTGATGCTTGCTGAATGGTCCCCCAGTTTAACCCACCAGCTAGGATAACTTGAGGGGTTAGAAACAAACCACGAAAAATTGAGGATGAAGAATTTTACATGGTCTGTATGGAATAGCTGTTCCCTGGAAGATATTACAGAAAATAAATGAGATAGATCTATTAAATGTTCTATCTAAATTCAAAGACGTTATTCTAAGCCCGCGCCCCCCGGAAAACAAATGCCAGCGCTGATTTATCAAAGGATAGAGGAGATGCCCTTTTGCCCTAAAGAAAGAAACAAAATTAAAAGCAATGAAGGGAGATCTGGAGTAGGAAAAAGGGCGCTACGTCCATATGCTGCCCAATGGGAATAACGTGACGTATACAAGGGCAAACATATCCGAGTACAGATACATCAAACCCAAGGAAGATGGGGGAGGAAGAGATCATAGAAAGGTTATTATATATAGTAGGTCGCTGATAAAAAGAAAAAAGAAACAAAATATCATCACACGTGATTTGTTAGGACTAATCCGATAGCCCTTCCTCCGGATTTTTGGAGATGGTCTTCTTCTCCCTGATCGTCTGATCCGAGTCGATCACCATGGTCAGTGAATAGCTTTCAGTTAGGGTGCTAAGAAGCCCAGCAACACCAATGAGGGCACAGCAGACAGCCCATACGATGCGCAAACTGTCCGTGTACGCCTCTTTAAGGTGCAGCTTCTCAGGCCCATCTTCCATAGCCAGAACCACCCGAACAAGCCCAGCAGCGTCTTTGCTCAATGTTGCCGCAGTGGTAGCGAATTCCGGGTATCTGAGCAAGTTCTTTCGCATCTCGTTTTGGAAAATGACACCACCCACGGCAACGCCGATTGCCTGGCCGAATGCGCGGAAGAAGCTGAAAAACGCGACTGCAGTGGCCATGTAGCCAGGTTTTGCGGATGCCTGGATTGCAAATCCAAGGGCAGGGAATAAGAGGCCCAATCCCATACCGGCGGGAAGCAGAAGAAATATCCAGGCTGCGATGCTGGTGTTGACGTCGAGAATGGTGAAGAGTCCCAAACCAAGCGTAGATAGGACGAATCCCAACCAGACTGCCCAGCGCCAATGGCCTGTTTTCGTCACGAGAATACCGGCGATGGCAGCGATAGGGGCGACGGTGAAGGTCATCGGGAAGAGGGAGATTCCGGCGACTATGGGAGTGTATACTTTGACAGTCTCAAAATAGAGGGGCATGTAATACAGGCCACACCAAAGGACAAGGCCGTGCAAGGTTGTCTCTATGTAACTTACGATTGCTGTCCTGGTTCCAAAGATGGCTATGGGGAGAATGGGATCGTGGGCCAATTTATACTCGTAGATCATTGTCACGATGAGCCCAACGAAGCCGATGAGAAGTGGAGCCAGCGTTCGCCAAGAATCCCATTCATACATCACACCACCCCAGGTCACCGGAATTAGGAATGAGGTGGTGCTTCCAATAAAGAGAACCGTTCCGATGTAGTCGATACGGCGCAGTTTCGACAGCAGCGAAGAAGGGACAAAATTCAACTTCAAGAAGAGGAGGATCAACACGGCTCCGACACCAATGAATGGAAAATTTATATAGAAGATCCACCTCTGTAATCCAATAAATTGAGGCTATTAGCGAACTATTCCTTCCAGGCAAAAAAATAATTCTAACTGACTTTAGATGAGGAAAAAAAGCATTGGCGGGATTCAATAGACTTACCCATGAAACATTTTGGGAGAAACCACCTCCAAGAATTGGGCCAGTAACTGAACCGACACTCCACATAGCACTAATGATACCAAAATAAGTACCTCGCTCCCTCAGTGGAATAAGGTCAGTTATTACAATCTCAGTGAGAGCAATAAGCCCACCACCACCGACTCCCTGGATGGAACGTCCAACTAGCATGTTGGTGAAGTTGTTTGAAAGGCCAGCAATAAGGGTCCCCACAAAGAATAAAGTGAGTGAGACAAGTATCATTGGCTTGCGGCCGAAGATATTAGAGAATGAAGCAAAATTGGGTTGGAAGACTAATCACGGCGGTTAGTCGAGTCATTATAAAAAGGGATGTATAAAGTTTGATATTTACCCGTAGAGCACAGTAAAAAGGAAGTTCCACTCCAAAACGCTTCAATAGCGGTACCTTTTAATTGCATTGCGATTATCTATTGATGTGATTTCAGCAAGAACCTTATACATGTTGATGGAAATGGGTGGGAGTCAGCAGGTATTGTGTACAAACTTACCGGTAGAGCGACGGATATGGACGTGCCATCCAATGCGACCATCAATGTGAGTACCGCGAGAGTCATTAAAACAAGCCATGTCCGGGTAGAAGGGTGGAAAACTTTGACATCGCCAGCATTGTCAGACAACGAGGACGAGGAGGGGGTGGCGGCAGTGTTGTTCATGTTATCGGATCTTTCTTTGGAGTAATCTTCGGAATTCCCTCCTGAGGGCATAGTATTTTGGTCTGCCCTTTGAGTATGCGCTTCAGCCGTCGTAAGTTGAATAGGAAGCAGTCGTGGTTCTGGCCAATATAGAAGAAGGAGCCAAAGGCTTTTCAGTCTTCAATTTGTCAACAAACGGAAGTTCTCGATGCTATGGCGTGTTCTTATAGTTGTCAATGGAAGTCAGTATACCGTAGAAGAGGAAGAGTGCTTGAGTCAAGAGATAGGCAATTTCAATTCCATCTGAGGTTTGTTGAGGCATATATAACATTTAGTTATACAGAAATGGGATAAACTTGAACAAGGGCTATTCTGCAAGCACGGGCTTTGCATTAGTCCGTAGACAAGCTCTTGAGACTGGCGGGATAAGTTACAATATAACGTTATGGACCAACTCCTCGTCATGGCAGCAGTTCAGATTAGGCAGACCCTTTTCTTGTTATTTCTGGGATCTTTGAACAACAATAACAATCGGGCGCATAGAAATCCCCTGACTCCGGAAACTCGGCCGAAGTTTCCACCAGCCTCGCAGCTCGAAGGCCGGAGCGGTTGAAGGATAGCTACCCCAGCGCTTCAGCATCCTTTAACAACACACAAAGACAGTTCCATTAGTTAGTCGGTCCATGAGTACCTGTTAGACCGGCATTGTTCATCAACGGCAAGGAAAGGAATTTCGTTAGAACCCTCCATTCTCAGTAGAGGGATCAGAAGTAGTCAACAAAATTCTCAAGAGCTATCGCATGTAACAGCTCAACGTACACCCATGAGCCATCTCATCTCCTAGAGGAACCGTCCAGAGTGTACCGGGCAGGCATTCAAAACAAGTCAAACTCGTATCCAGTTTGCCAGCCAGAGTTAAAACTGGGTAAACAGCCCACTGCAACGATAAGGATCTCGACGCGATCTGATAACTTCTGATCTTCCGGCAAGGGGGGTCCCGAGCTCGGGAAGGCAGCCATATTATTTTGGCTTTGAGCTTGTCCATCGCGGGTCAATTTCTGTGGCCGATTTAAGTTGCCCCGATCCCATAACCCGTACGGCGCAATATTCGTCCGATTTGTACAGAGTACTGAGGCGGTGGTTTCTCAACTCAACCCGGGTCGGTTGGTTTCATATTCTCTTTTATTTGAATGAATGCAGCTGAATTACTCACGCTTTTATTAGCTTTGTTCAAGGATTCCAGTTGTGTATTCATTCTCAAACTCAGATGCTTTTCATGTTAATTTGTAGAAAGAAAGTGTTTAAAATGTTTAAAACAGTTTTTATAACTTAATTTTTTCTCTTAAAGTAGTTTTCAATTTATAAAAGTATGTTTCAGATGATTTTCTTCAGTAGTATTAAATACTTTTTGTATTTTGAAGTATATTTTTACAAAATTGTTATTCTGTTTCTTATTCTTATTATTATTTATTATTATTTTTCAATTATAGATGTTTACAGTCAGAGACTATAATATCTATCTGAGAACTAAAGTTCTCAGAATTTTTTAGTATTGTTAACTAGCTAACTAATATACATTTATCAATTTCAGATATGCAAAATTAGAAAATTTTAGCTCAGAATATAAAAACTCTTTATAAATTGTAATATTTTCAACATCTTTTCAATAACTTGAAATTATTTAAAAGATATAATAAAAGAAACAGTTTTAAAAATAGACTTAATTAAAAATAATGATAAAAAAGAAAATAAAAGAAAATAATAATAGAAACTTTAAAAATAGTAATTAACTATTTAAATAAATTACATCTTAATTTCTTATATTTTTTCATATTTATAAAATTCTGAATTTAATTATTGTTTTATAATAACTTCAATTTCTGATAAAAAAAATCTATTAAATACTTAATTTCTATCTCAGTTAAAAATAGAAATTTTATATTTAATTAATTTAAATTATATTATTCTTTTAATTAATTATTATTATTATTATTATTATTTAATTATAAACAAGTTTTAATTACTCACTTACATTTGCTTATTCAGCTTAAGAAACATACTGTTTAATTTCTCAGATAAATGTAATAAAATATATAAATAACTATATATAATAAGTCAGCTATCTAACACATCTGAACTGATCAAACAATTCACTAACTATATATATAGTTTCAGATGTTTCAAACAGAATAATGATCATTACTTATATCACATCTCTTTATTTAAGCAGACAGAGACTACAAAGCTGTCTGTGTCTGCTGCAGAGATAGCAGTGATTCTCTCAAGTATCTTCATAATAAGTAAGTTACTGATTCAGTGTATAACAGAAGAAGAAAGACTATCAGCACTTATAGCAGAGTACTACATTGATAAAGACTCTTATTATATTAATCACTGTCTTAAAAAAGAGAAGAACAGTAATTATTCAGTGAATCAAGTTGAACTGAAGAATACTGAGAAAGATAATAATAAGCTGCTGAATTTAGATCTCAGTCTAGATTTTAACAGTGAGTTGAAAAAATAATCAGTAAGATAGATACTGAGAAGCTTATCTTATCTACAGATATTCTCTCAGATAATTATCTGAATATCTTTAATACTGATATATATATAGTTACAGTGTGTGACATCTCTATAAGTGATTAAGAATATATTAGCAGACTATAGTATTTGTCTTATATCTTTCTTATTATTTCTGTTATTACATCACAAGACAATCTCTCTGTCTATATAAATACAGATACAGGTATATCACTTATCAATGCAATAATAGCAAGTCTATTCTTTTCTTATTATCAACTGACTTCTATGTCACATGATCAATACATGAGTATTTGAGAAGTTGACTTAAGAGCAGATGAATCAAATCTATTCATAATAACAAACCTTATTTTAAAAATGAATGACAATTCTCTTTTCATTGTTGAAGACAAATTTCACTTAATGTAACATCTTGAATACAATATAATCATAGTTAATGATGTATTATTGTCAGTGAAAGCAACTATTAACATTCATAGTAAGTAGACTGATTGTGTGACCGTGTCTGAGACCAGGACTAGATTTTTTGATAGTCTCATTATCAATTCAACTGATTTCATTACACAGTTTTAATATTAAATAGTAGTTTCATACTGTCTCAGTGAGACTTACTGTCTACTCTTATCACATTTTTCAAATGAGATCATGATTTTCACTTCTCAATTTAAATTATTTTTATTACTTTAAATGACTTTAAATCTCATTTAAGTGTTATCAAAAAGTGTTACTTTTTAAAAAATTAAAAATAGTCTAAAAAAAACTTTAAAATGTCTAAAAATAGTAACTTTATGCTAAGAATGAGACTAAATGAGATTAAATGAGATCACTTTCTCATTTTTTTCAAGTCATGATTTCATTTTAAGATCTGATATATAGTCACTTTACATGTTTTTTTAATAGTCAGTCCCAGCGGGATTCATGCTAAGAAATGTATGAAACCAGACCAAATAAGATTAAACATGAAATTCATGATCTCAGCGGCCAGTCTAATAGTAAGCTTGTTATATTTCATGAAAGATATTTCATAAATATCAAGATCATCAGAGACACTATTCGCGCGGGTAGACATCTGTTAAACTCACAGCTATCTTAGCAGCAGAAGAAGATTGTCATTTATACTGTCAATGCTGATATCATTCATCATTTCAACTTGAAAGATTCTCTGTTTTCTATTTCATACATTAAATTGCATCATCTGTGCCCTGCCTTGTTGATGAATGTGAAAGACCAGAATAATCTGCTTCAAATTCTCACAGCAGACACTCTCACTGAGTGAGTTTAAGTGAATGTATCAGATCACTGAGTGACAGAAGACTGAGCAGTCATTTAAGCAATTATCAACTAATATCATAAACTATTTAGCTTCAGCCTAGGTTTATTTTCAGATGATATTAAAATATCACTGCAGTTTATCAATAAGAGTAACTTTTCCAGCCTGAAACAGAGACTCTGTTCTCTGTCTTGAAGAGATTGTGAAGTTACTGATCAGATTCTGAATCTGCTTCTACAAGATAGAAGAATTGAATATATTTTTCTCAGAGACAGAAATCTCATTGCTTTATCTGTCTTTGTGATCTAACTTAGAAAGAAGCTGAGAGTGATGATTGATTTGTAAAAAGTAAACACACACTTACTTCTCAATACATACTTTCTATTAATGTAATAAGATGTATTGCAATCACTCAGCAGTTCTACAGTATTCTTATTTATGAACATCTGTCAAGACTTCTTTTAACAAGTGATTAAACAGAATGATCATTTCAAAACTATGTTCATGACTCTGTACTAAGGTCTTGAATGTTTTACAGTTGTTACAATGAGATTGATAACCTTGCCTGAGTTCTTTCAACAGTGTATGAAGAAGATTCTAGCGAAATTTCTATAGCAATTTGTGTTAGTCTATGTAGATAACATTATCATCTTCTTTTCAATCAATCTTATTTCTAACTAACTATTCAGGTTTGCGATTGAGTCTTCTTGAACCTTGCTTAAAAAGCTTAAAAGAGCTACATATTAAAAGAAATATTCAAGCTATCACTCTTACAGATAGGCTCATTTCATGTCCTTCAGAAGGTATCAGATGCCGCATTTCAATTGAAACTGTCAGTCAGTTAATAAATGCACTTAGTAATCTTCATCATTTATCTGAAAAAGACTGTATTAATAGAAGTGAATATAAAGTACTCATCATCAGAGTCAGTACTCATTAATAATCAGTTACAATTTGAAGTTGAAAACATCATAAGAAAGTGCACAAAGAACAGTAAGACTTATCTTTAGATTAAGTAAAAGAGATATAAAGATCTGATCTGAAAGTCTCTTAAAGTCATTACATAAGACATTTCACACCTGGTCAAGGTCTTCATGACTAAGAAGCCTCACAGTCGGCTGAGTAAAAAATAGAAAGAAAAGTAAAATAGAGAGAGAGTGAAAGAAAGAAAGAAAATGTATTATAATCTAATTTTAGCTATTGAATGAGAAGATAAAGAAAATAAGAAAATCACCTCTTCTGTCTTTTTCCTCTCAATATTCTATCTTCAAGCTGTAAGAAATTAAACCTTTTATAAGATGAATGCAGAGACATTATCTTTCACTCTTTTCATCATTTATCTTATTTCTTCTTATCAATTATCTTCAAGCTCTTTCTGCAGCTTGACCTTCTGTTCAGTGAGACATGCATCTCAGAGTGCAATATCTGTCAACAATCTCTCATTTACAAGATCACTTGTGATTCAAAGATTGCTTGAGCCAGCGTACGATTACAGGCGTACACCGGCTTCTTATATATTGTATGCTAAATTAATTAGTGGCTGCTATGGTTTCTTTACACTCATAAGCAAGTTCAGAAGCAGCCGCGTTATTATTCAATGATTGTATGTTCTTTCAAATCACATCCTCTCTCACCAGATTCAGTCACACTTATGTGATCATGTCATACATTCTAGCTTCATGCGGATTAGCTCATCACTAGTGTTTTATAATTATATGATCTATCTCTGATTCAGCTAGTGTTCTGCATACACTCTTACAAAGAAACTTTCACTATATTACATCTCTCATTCACTAACTTTTCTCATTCTTCAATTATCTTCTTCATCATCATCATCATTGAATATTATTATTATCTCATTTCTATCTCTTCTTCTATTCAACTCTTTCTATCTGTTCATCTATTATATTGTATATATTTCTGGCAATGACTCTCTGTTCTCATAATAAGTATCATTGTAGTATTCATACTGAGTAGTTTATTAGCAGTAAGTGTAACATGTTGTAAACTTGTGAAATGTGATCAGAACTTGTTTATCTTCTAATAATTGCTAGAATATATTATCATGAATAATACATTCTCTTCATCTTCTTATACATTCTTGACTGTTTTTCTTCTCAGTGAGTTTCTGATTGTGTTTTCTGACATAATTTTATATGAATGCAGATGCTGATATATTTGTTTTTATTTATATAGAATCTTCACATGTTGACAGATTTATATCTGCTGATAATAGTGAACTCAATATTGAATCATTGATTGAGAACTTGAAGAATATGATAATGAAGAAATTACTTATATTATATATAACTGAGTCTTCTGTGTTCTTCTCTGCTCTCTCTGTTTCTTTTTCTGCTACTTCTTCTCAATCTTCTACATCTGCTTCTGTGTCTGATTCTCTCACTTCTACTACCTCTGTTTCTGTGATTCTCACTTCTGCTACTTCTGGTTTTGCTGTCTCTGCTTTC